TTGTGAGGAAAAGTTGCAGTGCAGGCAGAGGTCAAACTCATCTAACAGGCTAGGTTGTAAGACACAACGTTAAGCAAACTTTTATATCCTCTAGGCTTTGTGGATGCAGCACAAGCAGGCCAAGTATAATGTTTCTTTGCAAATGCATCAAAATAACGAAAACGTCAGAAGAGTGAATGATGAATGAAAGGATATTTTGATGCCTTTTCATCTTTACTACTTAACATTAACTAGCTATAAAAAAAAAATTTAATTCACTGTGCCATTCAAAGGCTACCGGCAGCTACCGGAAACTTCTAAGGTGGACAGTTTACTTGCACATTACCCAGTAGTAGTTGGATGTAGCCACAGTGACAACACGTATTGGTTTGTGGACTAAGTTGAACCCTTTGGTTTGGCATTTTGTCTGTCGCCATCTTGTTTTTGGTATGCTAATTTTGGCTAGCAAAAAACAGGTCAACAGCCAACTCCTTAGAGTGTCCTTAAAATGTCTTTTAGTACAACTGAATGCTGAACAAGGCATTTTTAGGCAACCAAAATGTTACATTTAACTTTCATGAACTGAAGACATGCTGTGAAAGGCTCAAAGTTCTTAGATGAAAACACCAACAGCACACAGGAACACATCCTGATTGGCATGGTTCACCATGGTAGCGACTTGTCAATCACAAGGTAGCCAAACCCTAATGCATACCCTGCTTTATTGTCTGTTTTGCTCTAAATGGGACCATTAACTTTAAACTAACGATTGAGACCATGAACTCTTTAGGAAAGTGTTTACTGAGGTAATAAATCAGTCATTTTGTCATATAATGTCAGTACAATGTAATCAGACTTGTTTTTGCAACCAGTGGAGTCGCCCCCTTCTTGCCATTAGAAAGAATGCATGTTTAAGGCACTTGGCTTCACATTTTGGTGGCAAAACGGATTGTAATGCAGCTGTCAGCTAATTTAAATGTTTAAATGTTGTTATTGTTTTATCAACAACTATTACTCTTCCTGTGGGGCTGGTGTATAAACATATAATGAATGATAACATTGTAATACACAGTTGTAAAAATATAAAATATGGCTTCATAAGGAAAGTTAAATGTAGACAAACGTAAAATACAGTGTTACCCAAAGATGTTCTCTCAAAGAGAGCCACACGGGGTTTCCTCATTAATTACTGAAATGCTTTTGTCGTTAACAGCCAATTATTCTCGCCAAGGATGGATGTATTTCAACGACAGTTTCTATTACATTTCTTCACAACAAGAATCCTGGCAATACAGCAGAAATGACTGTCTGCAGAGAGGTGCCCACCTGGTGATTATCAACAGCAAAGAAGAACAGGTGTGTGCCAAGGTGGAGCATTGTAGTTACTGCAGTTACTGTGCGTTTCATTTACGATGATGACAGTCTGTTTCTCTCTGCAAACAAGCAATTCACAAGACAGTTCCAAAAGCACGTCTGGATTGGACTGACTGACAGAGAGACAGAGGGGGTGTGGAAATGGGTGGATGGGACACTGCTGACCACAAGGTTCACACTTTTTTTTATCACTAATTAATCTGTAATAATGTCAAAAAGTAACATTGCATATTCTTTCTTTTTGGGTTTTTAGCTACTGGGGCATCAATGAGCCTAACAGTCATGAAGGCACAGATGAAGACTGTGCAGAAATAAAATTCTTTGATGAAGAAAACAGCTGGAATGATAAACCGTGTGAAATTCAAAATATCTGGATCTGTGAGAAGAAAGTGGTTCTGACTTAGCAACCAAACTCTCAAAACAAACGACTGAAACATTGGTTATGGCCAAGTTGCAGATAAAGGGGCTCATTAACATGGACACAAATAGATAAGCCGTCACAAACACACACATATTCATTTACTACGAGTTTCACTGCTTTGAATGCTGAGAACCATAACAAGAATGCAATATCACTGCTCTGACTCAGAGCCTGCAGGTTGTCATCATTAGAATGCTTGTTTTAAATACAGTATATAAATGTGTCCATTAATTAATTAATATGTGTAACTACGTTTTTTTTACATGATAGGTCAAAATTTCTGTGCCACTTGTGGAAATATAACCACTAAAATACTGTTAAAATAATGTAAAACCTTTAAATCACATTAAGAGTGTTGAATTGGATCTGTGACCTTGACCCAGAGAGCAGTTTTTGTGCTGAAGTGTCATTGCTGGGGAAACTCCACTGATTGTGCTGGCCTGTGTAGTTTATACTGATGTGCTTTTGGCAAAACATTCTTATTTTCTTATTATTATTCTTATTGTTTGAAGAAAAATGGCAAATTCATTATTTTATGACATAAAGGATCTTGTTATATTATAGCATTTATTATAGGTTGCTAATACTGTATTATAACAGTGCATGCATGTGATTACAATTCAAGGAGACTATGAGTCACTGACCTGACTTACTTAATTCTCCGACATGTTTATTGTATCTGACACCAGGGCAGATACAATTACAGTTGCTTTCTGTTGCCTTGAAATACACCATGAATTTAAAGGATCGCGTTGATTTTATTTGCTGGTTCACTAGTTAGTTTTGACAATAACACGTTTGCTGGCTAAGCCGTTTAATTATCCACCATTTCCTGTTATGCTGTGAACGTAGGCTAAAGACAACTGAGAAGTTCTGTGATTATAGTTAAATTCATGTTATTTGCAGTGTGACATCTATCTATCTATCTATCACGAACAAATACTTATAAGTCCTCTTTCAACATTGTATCACGTCTTGCTTGAATAAAACTTTTAAAAAGCACTGGCATTTAGGATGTGTCATGTGTTGTTTTGTCTAGATTTTCCATGAAATTTAAGGGGGTTCCCAGAAGCTGCATTTGAATGTCTGGTGATGGTGACACCATCAAGCCATAATATGAGACAGTTCTCAAGATTATTGTTGCAAAACCATTTAAGGGGGGAGGGGGGAGGAAAGCTGAACCTACAAAGTGTGAGACTTTGTGTTACATTGGAGAACATAGATCACGCCAACAAACATCAACATTGGTTTCTGTCAACCGTGATGTAATCTGAACATGACCACAATCTTCCCTAATCTATCTAAGAAGTTTTGTTTGCCTAAATAACACACTATAAAGACAAAGAGTGAGTCATAATGATAATTTGCTGAAAGAAGACATACCTTGCTTTGGTAAGCAGATTAAGGTCAGAAACAGAGAAGAAGTTTTTCAGATCAGTCCAATTCTCAGAAAACATCATTACTTTGCCATACTTAAGTGGGTAGCATATTTTGAGGTTTGCTTTTAAGGAGGAGTCTGAGATTACTTCGGATGATGAAAAGCTGCCTGATACTTCATCCAGGAGTAAGTAATTTTAAGGTTGTTTATCATACATTCTGCATCTTGTTTTGTTTGAGTGCAGAGCACGAGTTTGATATGACCATCCCACCATCATGGAGGGCACCGTTTTTGTCAGTCAGATGGGCGTTTTCTTCAGAAAATACAATAAAGAAGCAACAAAGTTAATTCTGTTCTGTCTGTTCTGAGAAAAAGTAAATAAAAAATGGACAGTTTCCTGTTTCAACACAACATGAGGCCCGGCTGCCTGATAATCAAAGTGATTTTGCATGTGTGTGTTTGATTTCTGCACACAGAGGAAAAACGCTACAGACTGGTTGCTGTGAGCTTTGGACTCATATGTATCCTACAAGCTGCTCTTAACATTTCACTGCGTCTTGCTCTCTTCTGCGTCATCTAACATTTTCTCTCTAATTTCATTGAAATTCATCATCTCACATTCACAGTGTTATAAGACCATTAAGTAAAAAAAATTATTTGGATCAAGCAATAACAGGATGGGGCTTTCCATCAGTTTGTTAATTTAGTATGAAATGAATGACTATGTAACCAACTCAGAGTTTGTAATGAGCTGTGATCAATGTAATTTGATCACGGCTCATGTGGACCAGCCATCATTACCAAGTTGCTAAAATGCAGATAAAATCAAACTTTATGATTCAACATCAGACAAAATACAGAAAAATTGACAATCCTGTCTCCTTGAATTTTTTTTACCAATTATGTTGTGGTGTCCACTGCCTGAATTATGTTCACAGATAACATTTGTTTGAGCACTACAGTGAGTCACAGGGAGGTGATCGGGGTGGAGGGAGGAGGAGGTGGGTGCAGAAACTTTTTTGCGACTTATGAGATACATTAATAATAATTTCTTCATCATCAAAACATAATCTGGCATGAATTCCGTTTGGTGTTGCAAAGTAATTTTAAACATGATTTCTATGAGTTGCAAGCATGTATTCATGTTTGTAAAACATAAATACATGCTTGCATAAAACATGTACATGTTTACATGTACATGTATAAAACATGTACAAGTAAACAAGTATCAGCAAAAAATCTCTGATCTGCTGAAGAACAAATGCTGCTCTTCTGAAACCTTTCCAGTGGACTTTGAAACATGATGGACATGTGTGAGGGAACAACTTTTCAGTATGGGTTGCTGCCCTGGATATATGCATGCTTGAGACAGTTTATGTGCATGCTCATTTTAATGTTTAGACTGACAGATGTAGTACATTTTCTAGAGTTAAATCTGAACCGTCTGTGGAAACCATATTACAGCATGATCCATGATATTGTCCACATGATCGGACACGCTCAGCTGCTGCTCATTTAGTTTCAAAACTGAGAATAAGAAAAACATGTGGGCATGAGAAGAACACATATGGGCTGATCACCACTTACTTTTTATTCAGTATGTTTTTGATGCAGCCTGCCAGAACGTCATGTTTAAATTAAGTCCATCTTGTCCTGTTAGTACTTTCTCTGCAGAGTTTTTGTTTTTATTTCCTTATCTCCACATGTCAATGGTGGATTAGTTGTTGCTTTGTGCACGCAAGATAAAACAGAGATTCAGTTTTAGGAAAATAAGGAAACACTTAATTTACAGGATAAAAGCCAGGCAGCATAAAAAACAGTGTAAGTGATTTATAAATGCACCTGGGGATGTACAGGTAACATGCAATCTCACACTCACTACTGTGTACTGTGGCTGTGTCCTTTTTGTAGATATAGCCTATTTTTTGTTGGTTTTGAACTATTTCAAGCAAGGAAATATGCTGTATTTATATATTATATTTATATTTATTTATTGTAGCTATTTCAACAAGGGGCCAAATCAACACAGTCCCAGACAAAAGTACACCTACAGTACATGTAGTGTATTTAGGTTAGTGTCAAAAGGTGAACTTAACACAAGGGTACTGTAACCTCAGTGTTAACTACAGTAACAAAGGGGAATGTGTAAATATTTCAGCTCAATCAGACAGTTCAGAAGATAAGACACCAGATACGGATTTTATCAAAAACATTATCAAAAATCTGACTGAAGAGGGAGATGAGTTCAAGAAGAAGCTGACTACCTTTGGTGAGTATAAGCATGAAATTAAATACACCTCTATGACATGAAAACAAAAAGATGCAACAAACAACATCATAAGAAGGTTTTTTTAAAAGTCTGTTATTATTAACAGAGCATTACTCCCAACAAGGATGGGTGTATTTCAGCCTCAGTTTCTATTACATTTCTTCTATTAAGAAATCCTGGGAAGAGAGTAGAAATGACCTGGTGATTATCAACAGTAAAGAAGAACAGGTGTGTATGAGAGTGAAATCTGTGTGAGAGAGACCTGAGAGAAATAGTGTAAAATCACGTCAAAGCAAGGTCACAGAGGTGGAGGGTGGCTGAAACTGGTAATATTTTCATCATCAATTCAATCAATCAATCATTGTTTCTTTCTCTTATTGTAAACAAGACATTTATAGGACAATTCAAAAAGCTCACATGGATTGGACTGACTGACAGAGGGGACATGGAAATGGGTGGATGGGACTTCGCTCAACAGAAGGTTTCATAAATTACTTTTTTCATTTATTAATAGTGTAGTAATTATGCTATTACAGCAATATTGCTGAATAAAACTGTAGTATAATTTATAAATCATCCAGCCACCAGTAGCAGCAACTCCAGTGCTGCCACTGGTGTAGTTGAGTGAGGCAGAAATCCTGAGTTATCTTTGATTTTACTTGGTATGTATTGTAGAGGTAAAACTAGTTTAGAAGCTAGTTTAGGATCAAATGCAAGACACAGAGTTCAGCAGGTACAGTTCTTAAGATTCAATGACAAATCTGGTGGTGTACAAACAAATCCAACTGAACAGGTAAAGTCCAAACAGAGGAAGTACAAAAACACAAAACCAAATCCAAAAGGCAAAAATCCAAATATCCACAGGAACAGGCAGGGTAAGCAGGAGACAACACAACAGGATAGGAGAGGACACAAGACAGAGCATGACAAGCTACTGAGACAAGGTCCAAACTGACAGAGCAGTCACAGACAAAACCATAAACAGACAGGAACAAACTCAAGTCATCAAAATAAACAAAGGGCAAACAAGTACGCGGACAAAAACAGACATTCAGGCCAAAACCAAAACCAAGCATGCGACAACACCCCACACAGACCAAATCAAAATAAGACAGGAGAAAAGACTAAACAGACAGATACACAGACTAGGATGAATGAAACAGAGCACAGAATACATGAACTACCAAAAAGGACAGAACTCAGGACGGGAGCACAGGACCAGGACTACGACTAAGACATGAACTGAGACACAGCAAGAACTAAGATAAGAAAACGGGAAATAAAACATAAGCGGTAACAACTGAACTAATGCAGAGCAGAGAAAACACATGACATGGAACAAAAAAAAACATTTTAACAGACTGAAACAAGAATCAGACTTACAATCACAGACCGACTCAGACCAGGAACTTGACAGTTCAGTACAAACTAAGCCTATAGAAGAACTGTTTATTGAGTTAAGAGCTCAGCAGCCACCTATTTGCAACAGGTTATCACATCAGAAATGTTTCTGTAGCTTTCACAGTCTTTCATAAAATATTTTAACCAGGGAGTAACACACTGCATATCTCTATCACTATATCAATACTCAGCCCAGCTACATCAAAGATGCTTTTACTCAACTCCAAAGCCTCCACACCCACATGTTGCATCTTCTGTATTTACTAGGTGTAGAAATGTAAAAAAGGGACATGTATACTGGGACAGGTACACTAATTTACTGACCATCGACTAGATTGGCCCCTGTGACTGCATGCAGTTCTCCGGCTGTGAATAAAACCCAGGTGATTCCTGATTGTGGTCTTAGGTATCAATGGCTTGCCAGCAGCTAAGAAAATCAGCTTGTGGTGGGCAACCAGACAATCAAAATTACAACTTTGGAGATGCCGGTAGTGTAGGCACATTTGTCCTTGCACAGAGACAATTGTTAGTGTCCTACACTGATTAGTCACAAGAAGATGACTGACCTTTCAGAGTTTGTATTTGTGACTGAATGATTCTTCATGTGCTGCAGCATCTGTCTTTCTACTGCTGCTAGTGTAGACTTTGCGTCACCAGAAACGTACAGTTTTTGCAGTGCCTAACCCACACAAGCTACCTGTCTATAACAATACTAAATAGTGATGTTGGGTTGAGGTTTACTTTGGCTATGTGCTCCTTTGGTTGTGTTTGGTGCGTAAAAACATTTTTGTTGTTTGGTTTCAGCTACTGGAACGCTGGGGAGCCCAACAGCTATATGGGCAAAAATGAAGACTGTGGAGAAATACGTTTCTCTAAAGAGGATAACAGCTGGAATGATACACCGTGTGAAAACTCAAACTTCTGGATCTGTGAGAAGGTGGTGGTTCTATAACTCAGTATCCAAACCCACCAGACTGGTTATCGGTAACCTGCAGGGAAGGTGGTTCATTGTCATGCATAGACACAAATACATATGGGCATACAAACAGACAAGCTGGTGTGTAAACCTAGATATGACTTTTTGACAAGAAGTCTTTGAACTAACGGTATATGTTCAAAGTAACAGTGTTTGGCCTTTCTAGTTATTTTATATTCTAGCATTCATCTACATACCTAATTGTTATTTGTTTAATCATTTAATGTTCCTCTGATCCTTTAATAGCTTCGATGGTTTTGAATAACATGCGGCATAAGAGAAACAGGTACTGCATCAGCAGGTTTTTAATGTATATGCAAGTGTCTCTTTTGTAAATATGATTGCTGTACTGACTGTTTTGTGTTCAATACCACACAAATTGTTATGAATAAATTGGATCCATTTTATGAAAAGGTCAGAACTTTATTTTATAATTAAACAGGACCACCTCACATGCGTCACATGCAGAGGTCGTCTGACAAATACTGTAATACCAGATTTATATTCATGTGTTTCGAGATTACAGCAACACAGAGTATCAGTGTTACATTATAAAATATTACAACAGCCTATCCCATCATGCCATCATGCACAAATATATACATATATACAGTGGGTACGGAAAGTATTCAGACCCCTTTAAATTTTTCACTCTTTGTTTCATTGCAGCCATTTTCCAAAAATCAAAAAAGTTCATTTTATTTCTCAGTAATGTACACTCAGCACCCCATCTTGACAGAAAAAAACAGATTTTTGCAAATTTATTAAAAAAGAAAAACTGAAATATCACATGGTCATAAGTATTCAGACCCTTTGCCGTGACACTCATATTTAACTCAGGTGCTGTCTATTTCTTCTGATCATCCTTGAGATGGTTCTACACCTTCATTTGAGTCCAGCTGTGTTTGATTATACTGATTGGACTTGATTAGGAAAGCCACACACCTGTCTATATAAGACCTTACAGCTCACAGTGCATGTCAGAGCAAATGAGAATCATGAGGTCAAAGGAACTGCCTGAAGAGCTCAGAGACAGAATTGTGGCAAGGCACAGATCTGGCCAAGGTTACAAAAAAATTTCTGCTGCACTTAAGGTTCCTAAGAGCACAGTGGCCTCCATAATCCTCAAATGGAAGACGTTTGGGACGACCAGAACCCTTCCTAGAGCTGGCCGTCCGGCCAAACTGAGCTATCGGGGGAGAAGAGCCTTGGTGAGAGAGGTAAAGAAGAACCCAAAGGTCACTGTGGCTGAGCTCCAGAGATGCAGTCGGGAGATGGGAGAAAGTTGTAGTAAGTCAACCATCACTGCAGCAATCCACCAGTCGGGGCTTTATGGCAGAGTGGCCCGACGGAGGCCTCTCCTCAGTGCAAGACACATGAAAGCCCGCATGGAGTTTGCTAAAAAAACACCTGAAGGACTCCAAGATGGTGATAAATAAGATCTTCTGGTCTGATGAGACCAAGATAGAACTTTTTGGCCTTAATTCTAAGCGGTATGTGTAGAGAAAACCAGGCACTGCTCATCACCTGTCCAATACAGTCTCAACAGTGAAGCATGGTGGTGGCAGCATCATGCTGTGGGGGTGTTTTTCAGCTGCAGGGACAGGACGACTGGTTGCAATCGAGGGAAAGATGAATGCGGCCAAGTACAGGGATATCCTGGACGAAAACCTTTTCCAGAGTGCTCTGGACCTCAGACTGGGCCGAAGGTTTACCTTCCAACAAGACAATGACCCTAAGCACACCGCTAAAATAACGAAGGAGTGGCTTCACAACAACTCCGTGGCTGTTCTTGAATGGCCCAGCCAGAGCCCTGACTTAAACCCAATTGAGCATCTCTGGAGAGACCTGAAAATGGCTGTCCACCAACATTTACCATCCAACCTGACAGAACTGGAGAGGATCTGCAAGGAGGAATGGCAGAGGATACCCAAATCCAGATGTGAAAAACTTGTTGCATCTTTCCCAAAACGACTCATGACTGTATTAGATCAAAAGGGTGCTTCTACTAAATACTGAGCAAAGGGTCTGAATACCATGTGATATTTACGTTTTTCTTTTTTAATAAATTTGCAAATATTTCTACATTTCTGTCTTTTTCTGTCAAGATGGGGTGCTGAGTGTACATTACTGAGAAATAAAATTAACTTTTTTGATTTTTGGAAAATGGCTGCAATGAAACAAAGAGTGAAAAATTTAAAGGGGTCTGAATACTTTCCGTACCCACTGTATACCTCAACCTCTAGAAACAAGTAACAAGATTATCTCTAAAAGCCTTATTTTTCCTTACTGTTTTCCCTTTCCCTGATTAGATCAGATTTCTCATTTTTTGTCAAATACACTCACCATCCACTTTCTTAGGTACACCCGTTCAATTGCTTGTCAACACAAATAGCTAATCGGCCAATCACATGGCAGAAACTCAATGCATTTAGGCATGTAGATGTGGTCAAGACAACTTGTTGAAATTCAAAGCAAAGGTCAGAATTTGGCTTAAACAACATGAAAGCATTGATCCATCCTGCCTTGTATCAACGGTTCAGGCTGCTGGAGGTGATGCAATGGTGTGGGGATATTTTCTTGGCTCACTTTGGGCCCCCTAGTACCCTTGAGCATTGTTTAAACACTTCAGCCTACCTGAGTATTGTTGCTGACTATGCCCATCCCTTTATGACCACAGTGTATCCATGTTCTGATGGCTACTTCCAGCAGGATAATGCACCATGTAACAAAGCTCAAATATCTCAAACTGGTTTCTTGAACATGACCCAGTCACCAGATTTCAATCCAATAGAGCACCTTTGGGATGTGGTGGAGATTCATATCATGGATGTGCAGCTGACAAATCTGCAGCTACTGCATGATGCAATCATGTTAATATGGACCAAAGTCTCTGAGGAATGTTTCCAACACCTTGTTGAAAGTATGCCACAAAGAATTATGAATATTTGCCTCGGGATTTGAAATGTGTTTGTTTTTATGACTGTTCATTCCAAAATAGTAAATGTAATTCAGCATGAAAAGGCTCAATTTCACAGTTCATTGATACAATGAATAATACTTTATAATAATAATGATACTACTTTGTTTCATAATCAGTAAAGCAGAGCAGTCTGTTTAAAACTGGAAACCTCATAGTTGGCTTATGTAGGGTCATCATCACTAAATAATAGTCATATGTGCAGCTGAAACACCACAGTAAGTGATACATCCCACATATTAACTTTCATAATTTGCCATTTATGCTGTCAGAGGTTCTTGTTTTTGGCCTGTTAGTATCAGATTCCTAACCAGGTGCTTGAGTTTGAGTTTAAAACTCTTTGTTAAGGTCGATCTGTAATCATTTCTCTCTGTATGCTTGGCTTTTTAAAGACACTGGCTGGAGTTTTTTCAGTGAGCGATGCCATTGAGTTCCTTTGTTGTTTACAAATAAAATAAAAAAAACAGAGATAGAGACAGAACATCGAAGAAAATAGAGAAACGAAAGTTCTCTGAACAGAAAAAAAAACAGAACTCACAGGCTTGTTTGTCTAAGTTATAATGCCAGTACCTAACAGAACAGACAGCAATCCTAGACACACTGCAGGAGCTCTGGAGTCCACTTCTGTAACAACATGACAAAATCATGACAAAACATTGTCAATTATTCATGACTATGTGCCCTCGTCTAATCAACAGCTTCATATGTCTCTGATGATAGAGAGTTCCAACATTAAAGTATCTATCATGTTCATCGCCCTGACTGTATAATGCTAATGTGTCATGACCTCTATACAGACATACAGTACATCTCCTCTGATATCCTCAGATAGTGCACTTTTTGTTGATGCCAACAGAAAACCACTAACACAGATTCATATCTGATAACTGTGAAAGTTACCTAAGGTTCTGTCTTTAATTAGATATCCTGTATGTAGAGCGATAGGCATGACCTTTCAGTCTTCACATCTGCTGTTGGGAAACTATTCACACTATTACAGCTGTATCTGTACTGTATCTCTCAAGGCGGATTTAAATGCATCTTGTGGGTTTTTTATTTCAGCCAGTGGGCGAGTGGGCGAGTGAGTGAGTGAACGAGTGAGCGGGGGACATACAGGGTATGTACACATCTTGTGTATAACACACACATAACAAACTGGATGCATCACTTGTTGTTACTAGTTGAATATAGTGCTGATGGGAGAATGTTCTTTGTTTGTTGAATGTTTGGATAGTTAACCAGATCTGTCATCAGAGAGCTAGTCAGCCTGTTGGTGTGCATGTTGCATAAATACATTTTAATTCCTTACTATTGTAGTTGATACATAAACATAACAAATCAAAGGAAAACTAATATAGAAGACAATGTGGAGGTGAAGTACAAATTTCCACTGGGCTATTGTGAAAAATAAATGAACACATCCTAAAAGGTTGACATTGAAGTATAAATTCAGTTTAGCCTACAGTGCACACCCGTTTCTACTTTCCTCAAAGTTTAATTTGTCAGCTTTATTATCTTATATTACAATAAAATCTGAATACAGATAAACACAACATTGCTTCACCTGTGAAAGATTCAGTGTATGAGATGAATCATTCAGTCAAACTGTATTTATATAGCACATTTCGTACTTAAATGCAGTGTAAGGTCCTTAACAGCAAAGAGAGAATCCACAGAAGTGAAATGAAAAAATACACATTATATTAGCTATGTACATATAAAACAAATCAAACAAAAGACTAAAATCACAAGCAATAAAATCATTAGGAAAGAAGGGTACAGGGGAAAAGGACACAATAAACAGTAGGTAGTTGCTATGCATGCGAGTATAAAAGAGTCATAAGACAAATCAAGCTAAAAAGATGGTTAGGGAAATGTGAAGCTAAAAAGATGTTTTAAGATTTCTCTTGAAAGTATTCACTGATTGACCTGTGTCCACCAAAGCGTTTTTTCCCAGCTGAAAACGCCACCTGCTGTTCTGAAAACGCCTCGCGGGGAGCGCTAGGGTGCGTTTTGGAGGCGCAGTGGGGGGGTTTCGAGACAATGTGGTTGCTATGATACATAATTTCCGTGGAGGCGATGTGTTGCAAGTAGGGTAGCCTGCTTAATTTTAGTGAATGTAAAAATGTCACCACAAAGTATGTAGGCCTACTTTCTCTGGCCCTTGCTCTGCATGAAGAGAAGGCTGAAACATGAGAGCACAGACTGTCCGTACCATAGACAGCATAATACTGGACGAAGCCACCCTGCTGATTTGAATGGAGAGCAGTGAAGCCAGTTTTGGACCAATAAAATACAACTACAGGGTTACTTCCTGTTGGCACCAGTGTCTACTGCGCATGATTGCGCAGCATAACCCTGGTTTAATTACGTACAGCAACGGCAGAAACACCATAGTTCTGGTAGCTGCATAGCTGCGCCAACATAAAGTTTCATGGCTCAGTGTGTCTGACTGACTCGGATCGTCATTGATTAATCAGCCCACCTACGAGGCTCACCTGCCATACACCAACGCAGCGTCACTGATCGTCGAATAGTTGTTTTAGATTCACTGAAATTTAAATTCACAGATAAGAAACCTTTGTGGCCTTTTCAAATGAGTTCAAACATTACATCTCATCAATTCTGGGATCTCTAAAGCAAAAGGCAATTAAAACTTTATCAGCTTATGTTTAAAGTTTTTATATATAATTTTTCAATCTCTTTCAGTAAACAATTGCAACAATCTGCCCTTTTAGAAGAGACCAATTTGGCAAGGGAGATAAGTCTCTGCTGTAATAAACCCACCCTTACGGATACTGACAAAAGGAAACTACTTACACTACAAACCAAATTAGATAATATATATACAAGAAAAGCAAATGGAGCCTTCATCAGATCCAGAGCAAAGTGGATCGAAGAAGGAGAGTGAAACTCTTCTTATTTCTGTTTATTAGAGAAAACCCGCCAGGAAAGAAATAACATAGAAACACTGGTCATTAATGAAAATGAATGCTCTGATCCTAAAACTATAACCAAAGAAGTTTATTCCTTTTACAGCAAATTATATTCTTCTAGATTCTCAGCTGATGCAACAGAGGCCTTCTTTAATAAAATCAGAGGTTTTATTCCCCAAATAAATGAGGACTTCCAAATCACATGTGAGTCAGAGATCACGTATAATGAGCTTGAAAAGGCATTGCAGTGTTTGACTTCGGACCGCTCCCCTGGCCCAGATGGCCTCACAGCCAACTTTTATAAACATTTCTGGGAGCATATCAAAGTACTTTTATTTGAAACACTTCAGCTTTAAACAACCGCTCACTTCCACAGACGTTGAGGCAAGGTGTAATTGTTCTAATTCCAAAACCAAACAAAGATCCCAAATTCTTGGACAATTGGAGACCGATTACACTATTAAACAATGATTATAAATTACTAACACACATATTTTCAAATCGTTTTAAAAAGGATCTTCCTCAAATAATAAGTGACACTCAATCAGGATTTATGAGAGGTAGATCAATACACAATAATGTTCGCCTTGTCCTTGATTTACTTGAATATAATGAGCGTATAGGAAGGACGATGGCTTTATTCTCTTTTGGGATTTTTATAAGGCGTTTGACACGGCAGAACACCCCTTTATTTTTAAGGCTCTGGAACTCTGTGGTTTTGGGGAAAAATTTAGAAACACTATAAAATGTTTTTATAATGACACCAACAGCTCAGTATCTCTCCCAGGTGGCACTACGCCTCGCTTCAATATCAACAGAGGTATAAAACAAGGCTGCCCCATCTCACCCTCACTCTTCATAACTGCAGCTGAAATGTTGTCAATCCTCATCAAAAATTCAGATATTGAACAGTTAAATTGTTATAAGTCAACTGGCTGACGACACCACTCTGTTTCTTAAAAATGTTGAGCAGGTCCCAAAGGCTACTGAAACTATAGACTCATTCTCAAAGGCATCCGGGTTACAACTGAACCTGAAAAAGTGTGAGCTGTTATCTATACATGACTGCCACCTTGAGACAGCATATAGTATCCCTATTAAAACTGCAGTGAAATACTTGGGCATACATATAACCAAAGATATTAAGTTAGGTGAATCATTAAATGTATGGAACAAATTGGATGAATGTAAAGCAAGATTAGACAGATGGTTAAGTAGAGATCTTTCTCTGTTTGGTCGCATTTATATTACCAAAATGGAAAGCCTTTCAAGCTGTATTTACCCAGCCTACTCTCTGTCCATCCCCAGCAAAGCTGTCAAAACCATCAATACATTAAACTTTGGAAAAGAAAAAAGCGACTATAGTGAAAGACTATGAAGGTGGTGGGCTACAAGCCATAGACTTTGATTGTATAAATGGAACCTTAAAGATTAAATGGTTAAGATGCCTTCTAGCAAACAGTGGAAGCTTCTGGTATTGTGTGTCCAGGGAATTGTTTAAAAAAATTGGAGGTACTGATTTACTTTTACGCTGTGATTTTGATGTTCCAAAACTTTCTATAAAACTGTCTGCGTTTCATTCACAAGTTCTGTTATATTGGAATTTCCTGTACAAACACAATTTTACTCCTCATAACATACCCATCTGGAACTGCAGATTCATTCTCTTTAGAAATAAGTCCCTGTATCTCAACGAATGGATGGAAAACAATATTTGGTCTGTCACACATTTACTGGACAACTATGGAAATGTTTTATCCTTTGAAGATTTTGGTACAAAACTTAATTTTCAGTGCAATCGTAAACATTATGATATGGTTATCCAAAGCATCCCATCTGCCTTCCTTTTGATGGCAAAAAATGAACTACCTCATATGTTCAACCCCCCTCTTCTTCCTTCATTGATGATTGCTGGTCACCAGTTCTGTAGTAAGACTTTGCAAAACAAAGTGTTCCGTGATCTCTTCACTCTGACTTTATACCCAATATAACACAGCCGAAATGCTGCCTCTCTTATTTTCAATCATTCTTCTGTGAAGAAACTACGCACAGATTTCTTAAAGTTACCTTTATCACCAAAAGCTAAAGAGCTTCACTTCAAAGTATTTAATGACATATATCCTTCAAGAGATCTCCTCTCACATAGATTTAACATTGATCCAACTAACTGTATATTCTGTGATGAGGACATAGAGACCACGGATCATTTGTTTTTCTTCTGTCCTTACAGTAACACATTCTGGTGTGACATGTGTGATTGGCTGGAACCTTATCTCCAGTCTCTCTCCAATTTCACTAGAGATAACATCACATTTGGAATTATAATGAAGAACAAAAACTATGACTGCTTTTAAACACTTATCTCAGGTAAATTTTTCATCCACAAATGTAAATGTTTGAAAACACAGCTTTTACTGTCTTCAAGAAAGAATTTGCATTATACTACAAGTCCCTGTTGTTCATGAAGAAGAAAAACTTCTTGATTTTATTGATGCATAAAAATTATCTGAAGCCCCATAACTGTTTTACTTCTGTTTCTTTATCCTGTTTTTTTTTAATTGTATTTTATTTGTACTATTATGTAATACTACTACTATTACATATTTTCTTCTCTTTTAATTTATTTTCTTCTTCCTAAAGCGTTGTGCTCCGTTTCCTGTTAGCACAGATATTTGGTGATCTCTGATTATGCCAGATACTGTAAATTTTCACCTCAATAAAAAAAAAGAACTGTAGCTTACCCCCTTGGTCCGTACGTGGATTCATGAGATTTTGCGGGCGAGGAAACACCTCGGCATCGCTTCGTTCAAGATCGGATTTGCTCGGTGCGATGTTTGTCCCGCCCCTCCTGCACTGTGATTGGACGGCTGGGTAAAAAGTGACAGTGACGAGCGCAGCGTTTTTCCCAAAGTTGAACATTTTTCAACTCTCGGCGACCGGAAAAAAACGCTCAGCGCTCAGCGACCAGCGCGGAAAGGACGGTCAGCGCCTCGTCACGCTCCTGGCGTTTTTACCAGCTAGTAAAAACGCGACGCTCCCATTGGAATGAACTGAAAAAAGACGCTGGCTTCAGAAAAAACGCTTTGGTTGACATGGGCCCTTATACACAGTAACCAGCAGAGGGCGGTACGCACCACGGATCAATCATCAAAGGGAACCTCCGGAAACAAAGACCGAGCGGCTCACCCAATCAAACAAGACTTCACTTTTAAATGAGCACCCATAGTTCCCCTTCTCCCTGTTACTGAAACCCACAACAAAACCAAAACGGACCCAACTGTTTAGGCTAGAGTTGGGGCTCGGGGTTATACGAGACTCTTTTTCAGCGAGCCAGTGGATTTTGAGCTCCAGCTGTTTCATGGGAACCCAGGAGGGAGACAGAGGTGAGGCAGCCGAGTCCGGAGAAGGCTAACGACACGTAACACTAACGTAACGTTACAGCTAACGTTAGCTGTCCGGTTATTTTTGCTTTCCTGCTGTCACCGAGCCTGTCACCACATGTACGCGTCTTAACAACGTTTTAGAGGTTAATTTAAGGGTTAGAGCTCAGAGTTTGACGTTATCTGACAATGTCCCCGTTAGCAAACACCGAATTAGCAACGTTAGCTAGCTACTTTTTAGTTAACTCAACCGGTAAAGTTGTGGTGAAACACTTTAGAGGTGACTTACAGATGGCAGGTAACTTTAGACACTAGTTTGCTTGTTGTTTTGTTATGACCAATCCATGGCCACCGATAATATTTGTTTAAAACTCTAATATATGTCTTTCTAACCGGGTCGTCTTCAACGGTATCTAGTGTAGTAAGTAGCGACAGGGAGAAAATACTCCGCGCTCTCAAGCTGAAGTTTGCCGCGGCATTAATGATTGAAATGACAATTTCACCCCTAGAGGAGGCACTGGTTTGTAAATAAATGACCGGTGAATGTCACTAAAATGAGTTTTCTGGATGTAAAAATATACATTTATAACATGGTGCACTGATGTGGACCCTCTTGAAAATGAGATGATGCATCTCAAGAGGCTATCCTTTTAATAATAAATTCAGTTCATGTCTTATTATTATTATTAATTTTTTAAGGAAGTAATCCACATAAACTAAATACTATATTAAATATTACATTCAAATTCCCACTTAAGGACTTCACTGTCGGGCATAAACAAGACTGTTGCTGTTGTTTACTACAGATTGGGTAGATGTGGCAAATGACCTACTCAGCAAGTGTCACATAAACCTGAGGCTGAGGAGACTGACGGACTGTGATGCAAATGTTTTCATTGCTCTGTATGAGAACATCTTGGGAGAGAAAGTTCCAGGTAAGAGCAAGCTGCAGATCTACCAACTGTCTACCACGGTTGGTTGATCAGTTAATTAGTTGATCAATAGAAAAAAATAGTATGCAGCTAATCGCAGATCATAGTCATTTTCTGGTTTCAGCTTCTCACATGTGATGATTTGATGTTTTTCTTTGTCTTGTGTGAAAACTGAATATCTTAAGATATTAAAATTCATTTTTCATTACCTGACATTTATAGATCATGCAATTTATTGATTCATATAGCTGAACATAATTACTCAGCAGATTAGATGATGATGATGATGATGATGAGGTTTTAGTTTAGAGCGTGATCTCCTGAGTTTGCTTAGTATGTCAGGAATGCTTCCTAACAACATCGGAACATTACACCATGAGACTGTTAATGTCGCTGAGCTCTTTCCTGCATTGTTAAGTACAGGAAAGAGCTAAAGTGAAAGACCAAAATGTTCCAGGAAGCGTGTGAAAGCATATTTCTGTAAGTTTGGAATTGCTGTCTGCATTTCACTGTTTCTTTGGTTTTTTACATTGGCGTGTGTGTGCATGTGTGTGTTAAGATTACATTGCAGTGCCATGCAGTCAAGAGGAGGACATCCATAATGTTCAGTCTGTGATTGATTCATTGTCCCTGGACTACCTTCAGATCAGTCTCTCGCACATTACAGGTATAATAAATGTTTTCACTCTTAACAACAATATTAAGTCTTGTCTTTGTACAAGAGAAGAGCAACTATGATAACTACATACATGCATAACTTTCACTTGGATTGGCTTGAGATCGTAGAAAATTTCAGCCTCTAGTCACTTTATTTTAAGCTGCATGACCCAAGTTCTTTATTACCTGAGGGGTAAGCAGAAACAGAAGGAAAATACAATACTTTTTTTTTCTTCAGCAATAAAACTGATGAGTACTGAGTATAATGCTGACCATGGCTGTGTGTTCTCAGGAGAAAATGTTGTCAGAGGAGACAAGGAGTCTATCAAGAACCTCTTGGAAATCTTTGATGGCCTCCTGGAATATCTCAAGGAGGAGATAAGCGAAGAATCACAGAACAGTGGTAGGGAGATTCATTTGTCACTTTTCCCTTCCCAGATAATACGTGTTAACAATGGCAGATAATAAGCATTTTTATTTTTAACAAAGGCATTTACACACAAAATTGCTAGGACCGTATCATTTTTAATCATATATTTTAAGGCTTCACAATGTATCAGAACTTTCCATGGCAGCCTTTAGCATCTGGTGTTCTCAGTTTGCCTGAAAGTGCTATTTCTCCTTTTACTGACCAAGACATATGTTCAAGACACAGTGAGCACAGCATAAATTTAATGTGTCCTAAATCCCAGTCTAAGATCAGCTAGTGCAGGACTTTATAGGGAACAGGCAGCCCTCTTCATTTGGTAGAACTGAGCATGCCTTTGTGTGAGTGGGCCGTCCCTCAGACCACTGCCAAACAGCAATGACTGTGTCTGCACAAATTATGTGAGTTTATAAAAGGCCTAATTAAACGTCCTGGATGTGGAATACTGAAATTGACATTGATAGTATAAGTTAACAGTGGTCTGTTTTCTGTGAAGTGAATGCAGAATGTTTGAGTTGTTTGGGGCTGAAATCTGACTGATCTGAGCTGTGGAGACAATGGGACAGTATGGTGTCTATCTTCAATGTCTAACAGTGACAAGTTGTGCTCCTGCTTAGTTTAGTTAGAATCTAGTAATTGCTGTATTTGGCTGAGGTTACCTTTGTGCTAAAAACTATAAGATGGCTTCAGTTGTCTATCAGACTTTTTTTTAGATATTAGTATTTCAGGTTTATTTTAGTGAATTTACAGCAGCGTATTACTGACATTGTGTCAGTTTGTTGAATTAAAGGTCATATGTTTTTGTTCCTCTTTATAATTCCCTGGTAATGCTTTCTGTTTGTTTTTGGTTCTGTTTTTTAATAGTTTTTTAAAGTTGTCTCTCTTCCTCTCTGTCATTTTGTATCATTAATGTCTCTTTTTTTCTTTTCTTTTTTTCAGAGGAACTGAATGACAGTCTTCATGAGGATGTGCCTGGTGAAACAAAGGAGCCAACAAGTTGCAATGCCACAGAGCACAAGGAGACTAAACAGGAAGGAGCATATTCGTCTTCCAGTGGAGAGTAAGAGCTTCTCCTAGGTGCACTGCACATACTCTCAAAGAACACGTGCTTCAACTTTAGTGCAGATCCGAGTTATAAATCCTGTTGACACAACAGGCCAACTTCCTAGCAGTAGTGTAAACATTAAGAGGTTAGTGGGTAGCTGTCAAACTGGGACATCCCTGCATCTCAGTGTGTTTCCCAATTGCCTTTTACATTTGTTTTGTATTTATTTGGGTGCAGGTTGTGGCACTGCATGTGTAGTAAATAAATCCTACTCTTAGGTGATTTATAAAACTATCTGTCAATATAAATATTTTGGAGGCACATAAAGCAGTTGAAATATGTAAATAACTTTTGTGTGGTGGTGCTGCTGTAAGTAAAAGAAGAACCACTCATGTCTGTTTAGCGCAATGCAGCTGTTAAGTAGTAAATGAGTCAATGCTCCTGCTGGGATGATTTCAACAATATGCTATGTCTACATACGAGGAAGACTGCATGGATTTTAACAGTAACACTGCTATGATTTTAGCCAAGGTGTAGATCTGGAAAACTAATTTTAACATACCTTTGGTGCTCTGTACTCATTGACTTTTTAAATTCAGTCAATCCCACTGCTTGAATTGGTTGTGGTTTGAGGAATTCAGAGCAAGTATATCAAATTAAACATCTATCATTTTAAGATATAGTACCTATGGTAAGTAATATTATGTCTCATCGTTCAGGTCTCCTGTCCATTCCAGTAAACATTCCCTCCCTTCCTGGAACGCTGAGGAGATGGGATCAACTAGTGAGGTCATTGGGCTGGGAGTCTCCGCGCGCACATTTACAGCCAAACCAGAAGGTAAACTTTACTTGTCCCAGTGACATTTCTGTGTTTGGGCAAAATGCCTTGTTGTCTTAATGTGTGCACAGTCAGCCATATCACTGTTTATTCCACTCTCGTTTTCCAGATGTTTTGTGGCTAGAGTGTTAAGATTGAGAGGTTCTCGTAGCGGAGAGAAGTTGTTTTATGCATTGATTTAAAGTTGTTGGTCTAGTTGTCACAGTATACAGTAGTAACCTAACCTGTCGTGTGGCTTTGCTGCAAACCAGATAGTCGGAGCCAATTTAGCATCATCACTCAGTTTGTTAGACAAGCCATAACATTGTCTACATAAACCAAAAGAATTATAGTTACAGTGAGGAAAATAAGTATTTGAACACCCTGCTATTTTACAAGTTCTCCCACTTAGAAATCATGGAGGGGTCTGAAATTGTCATCGTAGGTGCATGTCCACTGTGTAAGACATAATCTAAAATCCAGAAATCACAATGTATGATTTTTTAACTATTTATTTGTATGATACAGCTGCAAATAAGTATTTGAACACCTGTCTATCAGCTAGAATTCTGACTCTCAAAGACCTGTTAGTCTGCCTTCAAAATGTCCACCTCCACTCCATTTATTATCCTAAATTAGATGCACCTGTTTGAGGTTGTTAGCTGCATAAAGACACCTGTCCACCCCATACAATCAGTAAGAATCCAACTACTAACATGGCCAAGACCAAAGAGCTGTCCAAAGACACTAGAGACAAATTTCTACACCTCCACAAGGCTGGAAAGGGCTACGGGGAAATTGCCAAGCAGCTTGGTGAAAAAAGGTCCACAAGGAGCAATCATTAGAAAATGGAAGAAGCTAAACATGACTCCATGCAAGATCTCACCTCGTGGGGTCTCAATGATCCTAAGAAAGGTGAGAAATCAGCCCAGAACTACACGGGAGGAGCTGGTCAATGACCTGAAAAGAGCTGGGACCACCGTTTCCAAGGTTACTGTTGGTAATACACTAAGACGTCATGGTTTGAAATCACGCATGGCACGGAAGGTTCCCCTGCTTAAACCAGCACATGTCAAGGCCCGTCTTCAGTTTGCCAATGACCATTTGGATGATCCAGAGGAGTCATGGGAGAAAGTCATGTGGTCAGATGAGACCAAAATAGAACTTTTTGGTCATAATTCCACTAACCGTGTTTAGAGGAAGAAGAATGATGAGTACCATCCCAAGAACACCATCCCTACTGTGAAGCATGGGGGTGGTAGCATCATGCTTTGGGGGTGTTTTTCTGCACATGGGACAGGGCGACTGCACTGTATTAAGGAGAGGATGACCGGGGCCATGTATTGCGAGATTTTGGGGAACAACCTCCTTCCCTCAGTTAGAGCATTGAAAATGGGTCGAGGCCGGGTCTTCCAACATGACAATGACCCGAAGCACACAGCCAGGATAACCAAGGAGTGGCTCTGTAAGAAGCATATCAAGGTTCTGGCGTGGCCTAGCCAGTCTCCAGACCTAAACCCAATAGAGAATCTTTGGAGGGAGCTCAAACTCCGTGTTTCTCAGCGACAGCCCAGAAACCTGACTGATCTAGAGAAGATCTGTGTGGAGGAGTGGGCCAAAATCCCTCCTGCAGTGTGTGCAAACCTGGTGAAAAACTACAGGAAACGTTTGACCTCTGTAATAGCAAACAAAGGCTTCTGTAAAATAGCAAATATTAACATTGATTTTTCTCTTTCTTTCTTTTGAAGGCAGACTAACAGGTCTTTGAGAGTCAGAATTCTAGCTGATAGACAGGTGTTCAAATACTTATTTGCAGCTGTATCATACAAATAAACAGTTAAAAAATCATACATTGTGATTTCTGGATTTTATTTTTTAGATTATGTCTCTCACAGTGGACATGTACCTACGATGACAATTTCAGACCCCTCCATGATTTCTAAGTGGGAGAACTTGCAAAATAGCAGGGTGTTCAAATACTTATTTTCCTCACTGTATGTGTCTGCTCTTTCCCAATATGTGCCTCCAGGTATCATATGTTTTATTCGTTTATTGTATTGGATTATTAAATCTTTTTAATAACTCTTTCAATAAATCTTTTGATTAATCTGCCACAACTTGCTGTCCCTTTCCCAAACCTCAGACGCAGGCACCACCTCTGGTCCTCTGGACACCCAGGACGCTCCACTCACTGAGTCGCTGCACTCAGCCATCGCTCTGCAGCCACCCAAACAGAGTAACACCCACCACAGACCCAACATAGACACACACTCACCCACCCAGTCCCCCATAGCTGAAGGCCTCAGTCTGGGGCACGAAAAGGATGAAGCCGCTCCTGTCACTACAGAGGTAGCCATACAGCATGATGTGGTTCATTTGTTTTACAATTTACCTGTTATTTGCATGCAATTTGAATGGACATGCAAACTTTGTTATCTCCTAAAGGTTCTAGGAGTAATGAGATGAATTACTGTAGAGCCAGCAATGCAAGACCGTCTCTCTATTTCTCACACACACTAATGCACACTTCCTATTTTAGTGATTCCAGGACAATGTAGGAAGGATAAGCATAAGCTTGACTCTTTCAAAATGACCAAGTAGTGAGTCACGTTGGTAATGAACTCATGCATTTTACTTTTGATGCTTCCTTACTTGAATACTGTACTAACAATATTGCGTAATAACCTTTTGAAGGGTCGTTTCAAGTGATTGTGTTTTTGAATGTCTTCTGTCCACTGGAAGAAACACATTCTCAGCTCCTGTACTGGCCTACAACCATGGCCAACCACATTCTCACATTTTATGTACCTAAACCAACCCCTGATCTGAACCAAAGGCGTTGACCGTTTAGCAGCAGTCTGCTGATAATTTAGGCAGGTGAACTTGAATAAACTTAATGGTAGTTGACATACAGCACATTAAACCACTAATAGTTTTCTGAACATTCTTGCTTAAATGTACGTGATAAACTAGAGTATCTGCTGATGCATTTATGTAAAGCCAAACAAAATTATCAGAATTAAGTGGTAGATATTATTTTTCTTATTATTATTGTTTTATTATTTTTCTTGTAAAATGCTAAAAGTAGGTGTTCCCAAGTTTGTGTACTGAATCTGCCTTTTTAAGTCTTAACCAAGTTCTGGTTTTTAACAGTGCACTAACAATTAAAAGCCTGTTGGTAGAATCAAAGAAAGCAATACCTTATTCAAGACATTTTGTGTAAAGTCAGAGAATCTGTCATGTTAAGGAAACCAGTTTCAAACCCAGACAGAGGAAATTACTAAACACAGGAAGTGCCGTCTGACTGACGGACACCTCAGCACACTTACTAAATAGCAGGTCCTGACATGCACAGGAGCCTATGGCCTGCTTCTACAACTACACAACAAGAGTACACAACAACACTCACCAAACTCAAACCTACAGAAGATTTTCCTCTTCTTTATTTGAAGTGACTTGACCCAGCACCTGTGTTAGTATGCTCTGAAAATATTGTCTGCTCTCTGCTGGTCTACCGTTTCTCTCATGGACGATTTTAGAAAATGGACAATACGAGCAGCAGATTATGTTCAGTACTAAACTGTGTCCCTCGGTAGTAAATGTTAATGACCTCAGCTCAACTTCAGTCATTTATTTCTTGCTCTTTTTCTCTTCTCACACAGACTAGACCATTAGCTGATACAGTTGTTACCAATGGACAACAGTCTCCTCCCCTTTTCCAGTCTCCTGGTGAGTGTAACAAATATACCTTCATTCTTATCCAGAACAAAATGTCAACCGGTTTCACAGATTAATTTATTTAACTCTGCATCACAAATCATGGGATTTAACAAGCCTGCTAGCACTTGATGGAATTGACAGTTGTGACTGAATGGTGTTGTCATTGGATCTACAGGCCACTAGCAAATTGCATTGTTTATCTGTAATGCTCGTGTCACAGTTAACAAGTGAAACGAAGTGTAACTTACTTCTCAATGTCATGTTTTGCTCAATTTCCAGCTGCGAGTGAGAAGTCTTTGTCCAGTCAGCAAAGAGCCAGGACAGAAGTGGAGGGGGAGGCACTAGAGGTAAGAGAGCAACAAGCCTTCACTTGTTCCTCATTTTACAGCAACCTCTGACCCATGCAGACACATTTGGATCTTGTATTGTTCATTGATCATGCTTTGTAAACCACTCAGCTGTAGGTCAGGGTTGGAACTGTGGGTGTTACACTGGTGTTTAAAAAGGATGGACACAAGATAATAAACTGACATATACAATAACGGTTAAGTGCAATCTGATGAAATTCATATTAAAGAGTTATTATGCTTTTTGGCTTTTTCCCTCTCCTTTATTGAGTTATACATCTTTTTTGTGCATGTACTAGGTTTGCAAAGCCCAAAGTCCACCCCAAAGGGAGTACCCATCTCCCACAGAAAACACTGCTCTGAACTGCCTGAAAACAGCTCGTTTGTAGCTCCACTAGGTTGATTCAAAGCCATAACTGTGATGAAGAATTGCTCCACTCTTTGGGAAACCATAAAAGCCTTTACTTCCCTTTCTTGTGACGTCACAATGAAAATACGTGTCATAACGCTCGCCAAGCGACTACTCCAACACGCCCTCAAAAACACCAGTGGAAAAACACTGAGCTGCAGCACACCCCTCCTCTCCCTTCCAAAAACTAGCTACCCTCCAGGCAGTCAATGGACAGAAAGTTGTTACTGTGATGTAGAGACAGAGCTCAGTTAACTTTATGGATGAAAGATACTTTTGTTACAGATTAATAACTCACCACTCTGAAACTCTTGCTCCAGTCCAAATTGCCAACCTGGTCGGTAACATGTAGCCTACAGCTGAATCGAAGCTGTTTAGGTTTTCGCTGACCCGCCTTTCTCTGCTTCTGATTGGCTATTACCGGCCTTTCACTGACCTGACATTCTCTACTTCTGATTGGCTACTAGTCCTTAACTAGGAACTGCGCATGTGCAACTCGCAACAAATATCATTTAGAGACAAGATGTATCACACTATAGCTAAAACGAAGCCTTCAACACAGGGTGAAAAGAGGAGCTGCAGCAATGTGCAGTATTACAAAAAATATGGTGTTTTTTGAAAATTAAACCATGTAAACCTGTTCTGGTACAACCCCTAAATAAGATTATGAACCTGAAAATGAGCATAATACCACCTCTTTAAAATAAGCCAATATTTTGACATATTTTCTTTCTTTCCTTTGGCTCACTTACACACCTTTTAAAAGTGACTTGCTGAACATATTTTCTGTGCATAAATCATAATTTTATGTAGAACATTTCCCACACATAGACTTTATTTGGGCATGCCACCCAGGAATGTTAATGCCCGCCCGGGTATATCTGGCAACCCATTTTAGCATTTTGCAGAGAAACACAGAGAGAGAGTTGTTACCCATTATGTTACAAGACGCGGACACAGAGGATATTTTACAAGCACGGACCAAGTAAAGTGACAGTGAACAAACACACCAGTGCAGATGTATTTCGGTACCATGATGGTTTCGTTTCGATATGCTATGTCGTTAAGAAGCCTCCCCCACATGAGGCGTACCTACTGCTGTAAAAACAAATCGCGGATGAAAAGACGAGTTCTGTGTCCTTTCTGCGACCTTATAAAACATACTGCTGAAGGAGAAAGTCATGAGGGCAGACACGTACAGGGAGAAGGAAGAGCTGGTGCAGGTGTGGGAGTGCGGGGAAAACTGAACCAGATTCAAGTGGCCTTGGCTAGTGATTGAAAACTAAAATAAGGTGGCCAATTAAGTAGAATTAAAACGGTCATTATATGACGTAATATCTGCTGCCCTGCTGATGTATCGAATCAGGCTCTAGTTTATTCTATTTTCCAATCCAAGCCCATCCTGTGTCATGTACATAAGCTATTAAGGGGGAACAGATTCATTTAAACACAATTGCGTCACATTTCTGTTGCTTTCCCTCTTTCTTGTTTTTTATTATTATTTATTTTCTATATTGTGTTACTTTACGTTGACTGAATTAACTTGATTCTCTTTTGTCTCATCTCAGCCAACTAACGGGGGTCCCAGGAGGGTTTTATTCCGCACCCAACCAGATGTTCTCTTCCTCAACCTGCAGGATGAGATGGCAGCCTCGATCCCTTCTCCACCAGACACAGAAGAGGAAGAGCAAGATGATGAGGATCTGAGTTGTACACGAAGACGACCGGGCAGAAGAATAGGTCACAGAGATAGGGTGAGCCTCAGGTAAGAGAGGTGCAGTTCCAGAGAACCACAGGAAGCTAATAAGGAAAATAATGGGCTTATAGAAATATTGTTTTGTGCAGGGACAATGTAGTAATGCTAATTTTTCTGACTGTCTACCTATCTCTTCTGCACGGTGTCTTTCTGAGCAGTAGCAGGTTGGAGGAGGAAGGTCTTGGGGAGCCTCTGTCATATTGCAGACAGAGGAACAAGCAAGCAGAAAAGGAGCTGCATCACATATCAGAGAAACTCTCACATCGACTCGAGGAACTTGATCAGGTGTGTGTGTGTTTCGTCCCAACATATTGTCATGGATGTTTTGTATCCAAGCGAGAGATTTTTATCCCTTTTGCATAGGTGTGTCTGTTTTGTCAGGGGTGGATTAGAGAACGTTTACCTGCTCTTTATTTTCAAAAAAGTTATGGTCAGTTCAATGCAGTTTAATTGAGTTGACCAGGATAAACCCCTCGTTATCAGTACTGCTTTCAAGGGAGTCCTGGATACGTTCTCTTTAATCATTGTTAATTGTACTGACTTCTGAAGATGTAGTGCGTGTACTTATATTTTTTTGTATTTGTGTATTATCCCTTTAATGCTTACAACAATGTGTGATGTGTAATTTCTATAGATGCTTAAACGAGTCCTGAGTGAAAGTGGAGAGACCAGTGAAGTCCGAGAAGAGGACAAGCTGTCCCACCACAGTGATAGCATCATGGAGTGTCGCAGGACTCCCAGACAACACACGGGTACACACAAAATTTGGCTAAAACACAGTGAACACATTTATTTTCTTTAAAGAGAAAATCAAACTGCAGCCTTAAAGAAATAAAGTGTTTAGCTCATTAACTACATTACACATTGTTTCCATTATTTTCATTTTCCAGAATTCTGTCACCACGCCACAACGGATTTGAATAGTGGTTTGTGCCGATACTGAAAATACATGTATTGAATGGTATTTGTTTCAGAAACACCTGATGCTGAATCCACCCACCGGACGCGCTCCTTATCCCCCTCCCCTCCACGGGTCCGACACTCCCTACAGGGACAGTTAGAAGACGCTATGGCAGAGGCCTTGAGTCTGGATGGTGGGAGGGATACCAACCTCACAGCTTCTGATCATTCAAGGCCAGAAGAGCTACACCACAGACGGCCTCGCAGAAAACATAGCAAGGTATTAACACAGTCATTGTTTTCTTTACGGGTTTCCCTTTAAATTTATTGCATGTCAGAAACCACCTTAAGTGAATGCAGTTTAAAAATGCAAAAACTGGGGTGCCCCGTTAGCTCACCTGGTAAGAGCCCTTACCATTGAAGCTAGGGTAGAGAAACTAGCAAGTTGCAGCTAGATTTTGAAGTATCATCAATGCACATTGAGTGCATGGGCAGAGTGCACGCAGGCAGGTAGTCCATCTAATCATTTCATGGCTGTGCTTATTTCAGTCCTGCAGCAGCCACAGATACAGGATTTAGTTCATTTTTGTGTCAGAGCATTTGATTCATTGATTGCTGTCGGGATGTAAAGAGCATTTTAACTAAGATAACAAATTGCATCTGAAATAAATTGCCTACCCCAGCTTTATTGCTGTCCTTACCAGCACAGCTGTGTTTTATTCCAACCTGCGGCCCTTTACTGTATGTCATCCCCTCGGTTTATCAGCAGCTACTGCTATCAAATATAAAATACCCCCCAGAATCTAGGTTCACACTACGTGACTGATGACTGGTGACAGGGGGTCACACACTACATGAGCTGACAGTGGCTGTGTCACCTGACGCTGATCTCCAGACCACGTTTTGTCAAGAAAACACGTGTGAAATGTGAAACGGGAAATGAAGTGAAACTACACACGAAACAGCTGTTGTTTGTTATTATAAAGATATCAATTATAAAGACAAGGAATCTGGGTGAAAGAATGGATTAGCACACGCAGGTAGCAGGGATTGTCTGAGCTACAGAGAGAGCTGAAGGTGAGTAAAAAGTGTTTTGTAGTGAAAAAGTAGCTGCCTGCTCTGCCAGCTGCCTGCTCTCATTGTCCGGATGTGGATGTAGTCGGCCAGCTCTTCCAGATATTTGGCATGCTAGATATCTGGCTGGCATCAGCGATGTGTCGGGGAGCCGTTTTGATGCGTCGTTGAGTAGTTCACACATAACGACTGGCGACCGCCGATCCACCGCTGATTTACTCAGCAAATCGGGTTAAAAATCGTGTAGTGTGAATTGGGCTAAAGGCACGTTCACGCAGATGAGCAGGGACCCAGGGCATCTTCTTGTGTTTTTCAGAGTCCGTAAAGAGAGTTCTTAGGGTGCTTTCACACTTGTTGTTCAGTTCATTTGGTCTGGACCAAGTGAAAAAAGTTATACACTGTTGCATTTTAGTTCTGGTCCGGTTCATGTTCACACTGCAGTTTTACAAACGAACCAAGAAAAGTAACTATGATGTTACACAGATTTACAGGTAGCTTGTTGATTGGACAGCTTTGGCGATTGTCATCCTGTATCATTAGGACCCACGTGGGGAAATCAAACTCCGGTGACTGACAGAAGTTTATGCAGCACTTTAATGCTTCTGATCTGTATCTCAAAGAGCTCACAAAGTAATAATTTATTATAAGCATGAATGGTAGCCTAATGTTGGACCGCAGATCGACCACATAGCCTAAAATGAATAATAACATAAAAACAGGACATGTAGTACAGGAATAATTCGGGGCTTATTAGCCTATAGGATACTGTGGTACCGCTGTCACAAATGTTTTATGGACTGACAGGATAAACGGAGTACTACTTGCTCTCCTTTTTTAACAGATTTAAACCTATTAATCAGGGGAAATACCTGCGCTGACAAATATAAGTTACCAAATGATTTTCATAAACACAGCCTATACATGGCTTATACAGATCAATTATATGTCGCGGTCAGCAAATGGATTTATTAGTGGTTTAGCTTTGGAAATAATGCACAGATCACATCTCTGCTATCATAAAATCCTGAGGTTGGTTCGTTTGCTTTCACACCACATTCGAACCGCACCAGAGTTCGTTTGAAAGCGAACTAGATCATAAACTAGATGGTCTCGGTACGCTTGTTTGGTTCTCTTTTTGTGCGCACCCAAGTGCGATTGCTGCATTCTTACCTGCCCAAACAAACCCCGCACCAAGGGCGAAAATGAACTCTAGTGCGACTAAACTAAACGAGGCAGGTGTGAAAGCACACTTAGTTTTTATAACTGTCACTTTAATTGCCTACCGTCTGTACGCTGTTAGTGTCTTAACAATGGTTCCATAGGTGAATGTTTATTGATTGTTTATGGTTCACTGAACAAGCATGAAAAACATTGTTTACACCCTTTATAATAAACATCTGTAAAGTCATTTGGATTTTTACAGAATAATCTTTAAAATACAGTGTCCTGAAGAAGGGATGTTTCATTCTGAGTTTTTTATATATAGAAATAATGATGGCAACCCATATCATAGTATTTGCTAACTAATTGGTCTTTTTCTAAAAGTTTTATTTCAACCAGATTGGACAGAGGTTGCACATTTTAAAGATAAAATCATAAAAAGATCATAAAAATCAAGACATTGTGTATTTGCTTGATTGTTTGTTAGTCATTTCTGTTCTTTCGTCATGCAGTTAATTAAAATCTCAGTTGAAAACTTATGTTTAGATTAAATTAATTAGCTTCTCGGTTCTGTTCATCATTCATTTCATGCACCTATAAAATTAAAAATGAATATCTCTCTTTCAGCATCTGCAGAATAAGGCCTATGAGGAGGAGTTGAAAAGATATGAAGACAAAGAACGGGCAGATTTAGACAAGGCGCGTCTCAAAGCTCAGGAAGCTGTAAGTCTTTAGTATGATGTCTAGTATGAGTGATTGTTGGGCAGTTTGTCCCATTTTACTAACAGTTAAGTGTGCGTGTCTGTGTGTAGGAGCGACAGTACAGAGAGGCCATACTAAGGGATGTTTCACAAACCACCAGACCGTCTCCAGCTAGAACAAAGCATGGGTCGCAACGTAACACACAAACCACACCAGGACGGAGAAGGCAGGAGGCCCCCTGGAAAGCTCCACCAAGTAGGTTAAGACTATAATATTTACCACATGGACCTTTCAGTGCAGGTCATTTTCCGTATGAAACGTGCTGTGCATTCACTCATGCTTGGACTTGCTGACATATAAGCATTTATGCTGCTTTTACTGCTTAATTCTAATTGTAGCTAATAAAATGCAGAAGCTACAACTTTACAGAAAACTTTACAGATTTGTTTGTCATCATCACACCTCCAACTGCAATATTATGGTCCACTTGAAGGGCACATCTGAAAGTGGGTTCCATGCCCAAATTCAGATTCATGTAAGTCTATCATATATAAGACAGTTGACACTGGGCTCCTCAAGTCTCTAATGTGTCGTGGGACTCAGAGACTGATGGTTCAGAAATGCTTGTCTTAAGTTGTGATGACTGAATCTTGGCATTTACAGACATGTCGTCCTTTGACTGAAGTTTCCTCTTAGGCGGTGTGTGCGTCGTATGAATGTTCAAGTTTCTAGCCTCAGGCTGGCTGGCCCACTTGCGTTGATAATGGCAGAAGTAACAGCTCTGGTAGACTATGAAGTAAGGGCCCCGAGTGTGCTTGGTACAGCGGCACTTTCTGTTGCACATTGGGCAGTTCTTCATCAGCTGCAGAATGGCCTCCTCATCAACAATGTGCTCCAGAGTTGGTCTGTCATGGGGCAGAAAAAGAAAGCTAAGAAATGATGATGACAAACAGGTTGTATGGAGCATGGCTAGTGGCAGAAACATGAGCATGCGGTTACTATGGATATATTGTTGCAGGTGCAACAGCAGTAAACTTAACTTGCATTACCATAACCAAGTGAGCCCTGAATTAGTATCCTCACAATAATAAGTATCACAGGTCTGTCTGTCTGTCTTATTTTAAGCTACATGTTTTTTTGGCACATTTGGGGAACATGATCACATTTTCTTTTTGTTATTTGCTGACTTACTTCTCTATGGTTGGTGTAGTGCATGTCTCCGGTGCATTTATTTGAATGCCTGTAAATGAATATCAGTATTGTTAGTCAAAAGGATATTTTTAGTTCAAAGCTGGAAGGAAACTTTTAAAGAAAGCAAATGTAAAACAAAAAAACATAATTAACATCATTTCTAATAGTCGACTCTATTGGACAACTTTTACTACATCAGCAGACAAAGTGTCTTCACAAGGCTGAGGAACAGCAGAAAGTTACTAGACCAAGATTGTTTTCTAGTAAGCTCCATGAGGAGTATACAGGAAAAAAGTGCATTGTTTGTCACCAAAACTGGGACCTTGATTAATACCTATTGATACTGATAACTTCACAACATATCAATTGTGGGAGATTTGAGTCATTTGGCATGTCTGTTAGAGGCCTCTGAAGGAATGTCTCTTTTCCACTAATGCTTATTTATTGCTGCCACTTGTGAATGGCCTACTGTATGACAAGAAACATTCTTAGTTGGAAACATTTGTGCGACACTGTAAACAGATTTTAAAGTTTGCAATGAATGGAAATGCAGTTTACTGACTGTGTTGCATGAACAAGGTCCCCTCATGAACACCACTGCTGCAGTCTTTACACATAACCATAATTCACTATGGTGGCTACTTATAGCACCTACAGTGTCATTCATTAATCCCACATGCACCTGTAAAAAACAACAAACTGTGAAGATCATTCACCGACTCACCTGTGCTTCTGACCTGGCCCGGCAGTCTGTCCATTACTGCTCAGGTGTCTTGCTGCTGTACAATACAACACAGTCACACTCCAAACACCTGGTTGCAGACACTCATTTTGTTTCACTACTACACATAAAGTAGTTCGGCAGGTGTTGTGCCGAATTCTGCCTGCCTGCCCAGAATTGCATGCACTTCACGGGTGATAACGGTAATTTATGAGAGAGGTGGATGCAAATCTCGGCAGGTGGGCTACAAAATTTGTTCTGCCGAATTATGCATCCACCTTTCTTTAGGACTCCTTTAGGGATGGACCCCTCAAAGAATAGTATAGCGTTTAAAAGCAGTATTTGGAGGTGCATGCAATTCTCAGTAGGCAGGCAAAACTCGTCATAACTCCGGAACTAAAATACGTTATTAAAACTATTATGTATCGTGCATAAATCTGTAATGTCACCTTAAAGCAGTTAGTGTACGCGGAGGCTTTATCACTGAAACTAGCACTGAACAGCACTATAGTCTAAAGAAAACACTAACACAGGACAGCCTACCTCAACGTGACGGTGTTGTGCACCGGGGGTTGGGCGGAAGAAGGCACCGGCTCCTCTTCGTCCAAACCAAAAGACGGGACGGCAGTTTCTTTCAATGGTTTTACCGTTACGTAAGGCTCTGTTTGGCCCAAAACATTGTGTTAATAGTCTTCCGGTGTGAAATGAAGACTGCAAACTTGGAAGACTAGCACTCCACGCTCTGTACTCTCCAAATTTAAGATTATTCACTGCCCTGGCAACCGATAATAACTCTCTACAGCACGCTGTTTGTGAACAATGCAAGTCGACACCATTGCGACTTAAAGGTTTTTGTAAACTAACAAAAAGAGGACTTTTTCCTGCTCCAGCAACATAGTACAATGGAAACCGACGTCTGCGCCAAGTCTAAAAAATAGGAATGGCCTGGAAAGGGGGCGGGCCCAGTGCATTCTGGTTGTTGTAGGTTTTCTGCCTTTTGAGCAATAGGGAATACCCTCTATGGGAATACCGCAGCCCGGGTTAAATTTAAAAAATGGAAAGGAAACAACACTTGGTGCCATCATTGCACACTTCCACCAACCAGGAAGCTAAGATTAGCTAGCCAGTACCTCTGTAGTCAGCCAGTCGGTCGGTGTCGCACCAGCTGTTAAAGTGTGTGTGCTCGTATTCTCTCGGACGAACTGATTCATAATACGCCATGTTTACATACAAATAACGCCATTTAATAGTCAGACTTATCTTCAGCAAAGTGGGGACTATCTACTGTCTGTCATTACGTGTGTCTGCAGTGATAATGAAGGACTCTGATCTGTGTTTACTGCGCACACATAACCTCCCCTGAGGGATGCTGCTGTCCAGCCTGTGCAGGTGTGCACCGGTAAGAAACAATAAATCCCAACCGGTTCCCAAACCGGTGGGGTTGTGGCGGTTGACATCCAGCTTCATGCCGTATTTACTGCCACCATCTGAACATTGGAGCTCCCATATCCTTCCAAAAATCCCAGTTTCATTATAAATGACTTGCTAATACCCCAAGACCCCTGTACCACATGCAAACATTTACACGGAATCGAGCACAACAGATGTGGGACGATGAAGCTGTGTTAAGATAGTAGGGTTAGCTTTGACTTTACCAAACAGTTACTACATGATACTGTAGCTAAGTTACTAGCTACCTAAATCTATCAGACAGGCACCGTCTTACCTCTGCGCCCACATCGGGTGTGGCGACACTGTGAGCAGCTTCAGGTGTGTTTTTGATCCGACCTTGTTTAAGTAGTCACCTCTGTCCAAATGTTGGCTAATCACACGATAGTCTGCCACACGTCGTTCCTTGATACTTGTATTAGGGTCTATTTGTAGAGCAGCTACAACTTACATATTTTAATTATATATTTTTCTTATATATTTTTCTCGTATAATGGCAGTCAGTGAAACCTGCGCGACCCGTATCTTGGTAGGTCTTGGTTTGATGCTCTGGCAGAAGCACACAGGCTGAATTTGAGCCACATCACCAGCAAACCGGTGTGCACGCTTGACCACGGGTTAATGATTGGTCTGCGGCAGGGGTGGGAAATTGTGGTGACATACATAATGTCAGTCAAATGTCGGTAGCAGCTATAAATGTGCATGCAAACTTTCTGTTATTCTCTGCTAGAAAACGGTTGGCATTAAAGTGAATGTGGACTTCTGAAAATTGAAACAAAGATTATGTCAAAATAAATTTCTGTGGGAAATCAATTGAAAAGGTTTTAATATTTCACAGCAAGTTTTACAGAACAATTTTGTTGTAACTTTCGGTTGTATTTAGCTACTACTGAGATGTCTTTAAATAAGCCTCCCCAAAGATGAGGCACATATGCTGCATGCTGGGTGGCATGACAATAGAAATACTATAGAAATTCCTGTTATGTTACAATATCAAATTTATTGTCAAACAAAAAAAGAAATGTGATGTCTCATTATATGAGTAACATTCTTGTTTGTGCCCCCTCTGTCTCTCTCTCCAGTGAAGGTGAAGGGGAATGAGCTCCTCCCTGTGCTCCTGGAGGAGTTGCCCCACCTTCACATCTCCCCCCAAGCCCTGGGTCGGATGTGGGACCAGCAGATGCAGCAGGTGGACAGACTCCATGCCCAGTCATCCTCTCATAGCCAGCGTCGCAGCAAACTCTCCAGCCAGGTAGGACTGTGGCCATTACAAGCCACGGCCAAATGCCAAGCGCGGTGAAATGTACCGGCTGCCTTAGTTTGATGTCTGTGCCCTTTTTTAAATCTGCAATGTATGATTTAGTGGATGGACTGATGGACCAATATGTAAAATACCTGCTTGTCTGTCAGGTGGAGGAAGCCCAGAGGAAACATGACCTGCTGGTGGAGATCGTCCGTAAAGACCAGGACCACAACAGGCGTCTGGTAAGCCTCAATACATAAACACTCTCAAAAGATCTCTTCACATCTGGTAAACATATGATTCAACCTACACAAGTGCACATAGACATTTCCAGATATACGGTTATTTGTCATATCAAGCTGGCTAGTTACAATATAAAATGCTCATCTTCCAGAGGGACTTCAAAGAGCGCATCCAGCAGCAGAAGTCGACCCAGAACAGACTGAGGGAACAGAGGCAGCAGATAGCACGCGCCAAGAAGTACCACAATGACTACCATGTCCAGCACCGTGCCCGCCTTATGAGGGCACGCACCAAGGAGGAGAGGGTGGGTAGTGAAGGCCATTCATAACCTTGTACTCCAGTTCTAGGACTAGGGCCATGTCTAATGATTACCTGCAGAATTTATTTGTCTTCATCATTTTTGTTTTGTCTGATTAAGAGTTCAGTTCACAACCCAAACAGATGACATTTTCAATAAATATAGAACAGTGAAAAGCAAATTACCTCATTTTAGAAGCTGGAATCGGCAAATGTTTGGCAACTTTGATGGCTCCCACAAATTACAAGGACTACATGGACTTGAGGTTGTTGACATTGTCTTCTCGTTCAGCTCTTCTGAAACCCAAACTTGATTACACAAGTTAGGTTCCCGTCCTAAAAAGTCAGGGGCATCTTAAATATTTGTGTGGGTGTTGGAGAGGAATGAAGAGCTAAATAATACATTCAGAGTTAAGTTAAAGATTAAATTACACATCTATCTGGCTGTAGTGTGGGTGACGCATAATGCCCAAGTGTGGTTGTGTGTGTGTGTGTGTGTACAGACGTTTCGGCAGCTGTTTGAGGAGGGTTTGGAGCTACAAAAAGTCCGGTTGAGAGAGCAGAGAGCCTACGCCAGAGAGCAGCGTCTCGAACATCAACGACGACACCAGGATCAGATAAAGTCAATGGAGAACTACTACAAAGACCAAGTAGGACCCCCCCCCCCAACTTAAGAACCAGGAAGTCACACACATTTTGGGTTGTTTTTGTAATGTGATATGGACTCTACAATCTACTCAAATTCCAAGTGAGCTATAACATGCTTTCTCTCTTTCAGTTTTCACTACTAGCTGAAAAACTTGCACAAGAGCGGGAGGACATCCAGGTTCGGAAAAGAGCTCAAGAGAAGGTAATCTCTTTACTTACCACTGCTGTGAATTAGGGCTGTCACTTAAAATGTTGAACTTTCATTCAAACAGGAAAATTATTAAAATTCAAACTGTTCAAATGCTCGCTCTGAAGCGTTTTTTTATTTTGGCAGATATTATATGACTGATATTCCATGATTCCATCCTGAAATATTAATGCTCTATACATATATACACACGCACACGTGTATATTCACCTTTCCGACTTTTTCCAGGCTCTGCTGAAGATGAAGAGAGAGCTGCGTTCCAGGATGGAACGTGAGATCGGTGAACTGCAGAAGATCATCATCCAGAACGATGAGGACGATCATTTCCAGGATCTAGAGGTCCAGAGGCTGCGCAATCGGGTACAGATGGCTTCCTTCCAGTACAACACTAGCTATCTGCACTGACTGGGGAAGCGTGACACAGGGCCATTTTAAGGTCCACTCAATTAAGGCTGGATTTACATCAGAGGAACATGCTGCAAAAGACTTCCTGCCATTCACAACTAAGGGTACTACATTCTGACGGCTGAACAGTATTGTCTCCTCGGCATCTTCCTACAGAGATTTGCACAGGAAGAGGAAATTCACTATTAATGAACTGAACACACTGACTAAATGTAGCCATTAGGTTATGTAGCTAACTCTTCCTCCCACCTCAGCTGCTATACCTGAATTTAATAACACCTTGGACCAAGTCCCCACCTCCTTCAATGGTTTTTAGTACTTGATACCTAAGAATGTTTTAAAGTGGCTCACTCACTGTGCAGTCTTGTGTGTGCTGACATTGTAGCAGACATCTAGTAAAAGTTCTTCCTCTTGCCAAATAGGGACCACCGATGCAAAGTGGATAAGTATGAATGTCACACAGTTTTAACTTCCTTTTGTGTGATGTCTTCCTTAAATGTCTTAACCATGCCAGTGGATTATTTATTTTTTTACTTTGTCATTAGATTTTTAATTAACCTGGTGTTGTTCTGTCAGGTCAGATTGTTTTTAACTGCCAGAATTTAGGACATGGTAGTTTTAAACAAATTCACAAAGGTTGGAATGTTAAAACACTGTCTACTGGTATTGTCCATGGAATCTAATGATCACACCAATGCCCTGTCATCTAATAAATGTGAGGTCACTCATCGCTGGCTGGCACTGCTCACCTTTCGTTTAGTTATTTGCAGGTTGCTGTTCTGTATGTAATTGAGGTAATTCTTAATACACTTGACCGAAAAACACAGAACCATCAGTTCCATCTGTAGTCTGACAAAATAACAAAGATCAAATTAAGTCTTTAATTGAAGAGGAACAATTAGATGCAAAAACTTCTGAGTTACGCCTGTACCAACTGAACGCTGACTGAGTCAATTTAACATCACTTTTTGGGAGGGAATACTTGCTAGCAATTGCTGCCATTTGTAGCTCAGTAGCAGACTTAGTGACAGCTTAACTTTTTTTGTTTGTTTTTTACCATTTGTTTGTCAGAGATACGATCTGGACAATCTGATTGCATTCAGCATGCATTACATTGTGCGTTTACATGCGTTTTTCCATATCCCCATAGGATATTCAGATTGCATGTTAATGGCAGGTATAAATGGGGTCACTGAATCTTCAACAGTGAAAAGGATGAGTCATTTCAACATTTCTCAATATTGTGTGAAAATCTGACAGCAATCCTTGTTTGAGCAGCTGAGTATTGTGAAACTACATATTGAAACAAACGATTAGTGACATGTTGCAAGTAAAAAAATCTGCAATAAGTTTCAAGACCAAAAGAACGGTCCAGACTTTTTCAGGGGAACCATCTCGCCATTACGATTGTTCAACTGTAGTGTGTTGTTCTGCAACAGCCCCACTCGTGGCCAACAATAGTGATTTAACTGTTCACCAGAACTGTCTTATCTGCTCATCAAAAGCAAGTATTCTCCCTCCCTCTCACTTGGCGGTCATGTATGACGTTAACAGACAAATGTGTTCAGCTGAAGCAGCCACCCTCTTCCTTGCATCGGGTAGTTCTTTGACGTGTTTGATGGCATCAGAACATCACTACACCCATACAGAGAACTGACAGCTTTGTGATCTTCCAGAGGAAAAAAAAAACTCCACAGGCAGGTAGCAGAATAACCGCAAGTCCAGCTGCCTGGTTCAGTGTATCACAGGTTTAGGAAAAAACTTTAACGTATTCCTCATTCAGCATAATCTCAGCACAATCACTGTCCAGTTGGACCGTCATTTCAGACATGACACTATCTCAACTAGTGTTACTACTTGGCGACATTGCTGAATTGGTCTGTCCGTGTGCTGCATCTTTTCCATTTTTCTGGAAATCACCATCGTCGTCATCTGGTAGGTTAGTCCATTTATATCGGCTTTCACAGAAACAGCACGCCTGAGAAACCACAATCTTTAGTCCCTTGACGTGTTTTCTAACGGTACATTGTCTGCTGCATTCCTTGCATGACTTGAACAGCTGAAGGATGCATTCTTCATCGACAACAAACTCTGACGAGCTGAGGGATTCGGAAAAGATGCATGAATAGCATGGTGAAAAAGATATCAAAATAATGCAACGCAGGGGGTGAGAAAACGGTCCCGTGTCAAATTTAACAAATACAAAAGCTTCAAACTGGATTGCCATTATTAATTAGCATACCTTCCCAAATCCACCAGGTAATGTCCGTCTCCTACACTTAATGATGTGCTGAATTCTTCCTCCTCATCTTCAGTATCTGTGTGTGGATCCATTTTAAACAGATATCAGTTATTACTGCACTTTTTCTGCATTTAAACATGATGTTTGCAATCTTTGTTTTTGCTGGGGAAGGATGTTGCCAATGTGAAGATGACTCACGTCTATTTTCTTTGTTTTCTGACTGGTTGCTTGTCGTCCACTCATCTTCACTTTTCAGTCTCTGAAGAGCAGCACATGTTTTCCCCGACTCCTTTAAAATGGGACAAGTAACAGCAACCCATCAAGACACAGCGTAGGCAAGACGGACAACATACACTAATTTATATAGTACAATACCTCACAAATTACATACAACTTACAGATTATAATTAAAAGATTTTAAAAGTTTACAAATTATAGAACTAAAGTGCATTGTATGTTGATAAACTATTTGCCATTGCCTTTCCCGTCAATTAAAACAAAATAAAAAAATAAATGGTTTTCTTTTGGGCTCTGATCAGTTAGTAGCATCACTTTAATGTGATACAGAACTAAAAACACTATTCGGTTTTCCAGCTGCAGGCAGCAGCACAACTCAAAAGTTTATAATTATGCATGCATATTTTTGAAAATCAAAATGAAAGTCACTGATGTTTGATGCTTTCACTTGCAGTGTCCAATGTGTTTCAGCTAGAAATGTCTGCATGGTCAGACAGTAAAGTGGTAGAAACAAAAAAAGCAGGACACAGGAAGCTAAAAATGATGGATTACAGTACACATTATGTTTGAATATTGTTTGTGTCTACTCCATGTGTGAGCCTTAAATTAACTACAGTAAAATGCATAAAGCAACAGCTTTCTCTCAACTGTAGGGATATATCACATTATCTTCAGAGTACCAATCTTCAAATGTTCCAAATATTTTTTTTTTTTAGGATTCAAATATTTTAACTATCCACTGCAACTGACTAGTATTTTTCATTATCCATTAATCTGGCAAATTTGTTTAATCGTTTACACTATAAAATATCAGAAGATGGGTGTCCAAACATTTTCAGTTTGCAATGATGTCAGACGGAGGAAAGCAGCAAATCCACACAGAAGCTGGAATCAGAGAGTGTAACATGAAAAATGAAAGAAAACAGTCAATCAACTAAGCGACTAACCATTTCAGCTTTACATGGGAGATGTGACAGAGTCACGTTTACCTTTCCATTGTCAGATGACTGGACAGAGGGATCGGCACAGGTTTCCCACTCAGCTTCATTTGGTGAACTCATCATAAACGGGTATTCAGAATGCACACTTTCACTAAATCAAAATGACGGCAAAGAAGCAAAAGGGTATAAATTAAATTCTACATCCGTGTGTGTATTTCAGCAGGTTGCGTTGGACTAACGTGATATTTTTCATCAAGTCGTCATTGACAGTCAGAAGCTACAGACACCTTAATGTAAGCATGACTATGAAGAAGTGGTACTAAAACTAACACATTAGCACCTAGGCCTTCTCACCAGGTTTCAGTTGAAGAACTCCTTTCAAGGGCTGGCTGTTCAGGTCGGCTCTCTGACTTGGTCCTAAGATAACTGCAAATATAAAACATGACAGTTAGCTTGTTGGATAATTAACATGGACACAAACAGTATCTGGAAACACTGACAGAGACGGTTTGTGTGTGTGTTAAGACAGAACGAAATTATTCTGAGCTCAAACTTATGAAAATGTACAGTTAACTGCATGGGCATCTCTCTAACGGGTTACATTTCGCTGTCACGTTAAAGGAAAAGCCGATCCTTTAGCAAGCTATCTGAAATAAGCTAACCACCTCCAACAAAAAACAGGTCAACTCCGCGTTGCTCTTCAGTCCTATCTTTTCCTTCAGTGCTCGCCAGCTAATGAAAGCCAACCAGATTTACTGTGGTTTTGTCCGCTTGTCGTTTCGCCTCGCTATGTTTATGTTTTTTCGGCACTGTGTCCGCCATTTTCATAGCTTCCTCAGTCCTACTGTGTGGGGTCAGAGCAGGACCTCTGCAGAAACAGACACCGCCACACACTTCAAGTGGGTCATAAGTAATAACTTTTATACGGAGTATACTCAACCTGCCTTTAACGTTAAGTTTTTTTATACAGTCCGTGGTTATAATCCACAGTATAGTCAGGTACGCCGATACATACCTAACCTTCCTGTCCAGCAGAATAAAAGCCAGCCCTGAGTCAGTTTTAATACCCAATTGTTTCTTAATTTACCACTTGGGTATAATTGCCGCACCGATGGTTATTCTCGTCTTACTGCGCCGTCACTTTATTATTTTGCTCACTGCCCTTCCTCTGATCTAACCATCTTCTTAAGAGAACAGTCTGCCGTAAATGAGCTCTGGAGCGCCATATTTGTTTTATACCTTGTGATGACATCATGTCCGGTGCACCGATCAAGTCAGAATCTGACGGGTTACAGGATATGGTGTAACACCCGTGTGCATGTTTACAACTGGTGATTCAATGGCTGATATAGCTTTATTTTATGATTATGTGCCATTTCGGTTCTAAAGTTATAATAGAACAAGTTTTAGAAAATGAATTACCTTAGTTAAAAAACCCGACTGTGCTTATTTATGGCCGCGCATTGCCAAGGCAACGACACTGACTGGGCAATATGGTGGTATCCTGAGCCCGTCTGCTGCCCGATGGGAGCTGAAGCAAAACAAGCATTATAATACAAAACGACAAACTAACGACAAGCAAGCACACAAACACAGCATCCAAAACAACTGAGTGTAACTTTTTTTCTGGATTGTTTTTACAACACACAGTGACCGAAGACAGGGCCGTGGGTTTGTAGCTAACAAGGAAGGTAACGTGTTTCCCATTATGCAAACGTGTGTTTTTAGGTCTTCGTGGATATAAAACCATTCGCAAAAGTTGCACGAACAAATACCAGTGCGAACAAAGATAGCGCCATTAAGCGAGGTTGTGGTTTGCCAGCTAATATCCAGAGAGGACGAGACGGCCCCAGAGGCAGCAGAGCAGCTCCACACAGCGAAAACTCGCCTGCATCACAACAACAGCACGTCTTTGCACTAGAAACTAAACTAAACGCCCGTGGGCAAGTATTTTATCATTACCTGACACATACATCACAAACATTAGCAAACGGGACATAAATACTGACCAATCAGTTCTGTAACGTTAATGTTACCCACAAGTCAAGCAGAAACAGAGCCACCTCTGCATCCGTCTTCATGCCTTCCAAGTCTCGCAGTTCCCTCCACTGTTGGAAAGCCTCGCCTATGTTAACGCGGGTCTTCGCCCTTGCCTCATCATAAAACTTCCTTTTCCGTTTGTACTCTTCCGACCTTCTCCTCTTCGGCTGTTTCTCGGCCATCACAGCGCAGGTTACGCGTTAGCATGTGCCAGTTTTGCACCGACCCTCTCGGTTCCCACTGCGCTGTGCACGAGCACGAACGGCCAGT